CTAACCTACCTCACAGAGTTGTTCTGCTGATCAAAAGTGGGAGAGGAGAATGACGTAAGCATCCTTTGGTTTTTCTGGTCTGAAACTTTCTGTGCTTGATGTGAGAGACTGGGGTTTTTTTTAACACATAGAATGATCACTGGCTCCAGATTCAAGCTTTTTGCGATAATGTGACTTTGATGAAGCACTGAAACGAGAATCAACCTAGGAATCTCATCAGTCAGGCAGAGTTATATCGGTCGAATTTTACAGCAGAGTCACAGGTGCAAGCTGCAACTATTTGTGTTTGGAGGCTAGTTGTAGGTGGAGGTCGCAGTTCTACTTCTTTGGAAGCAAACATCTGAATCTTTGTACACTCTATGTTGATTGAATATGTTTCCTCACATATTGGTGATAGCATAAAGGACAAAACTGGACACTTTCTTGAATAATTTTGTAAATTTTATTAATTTTGTTGTATACGCTTTGACTTTCAGTGCAATTGTATAATTGTGTAATAACTATTTACAAAAATCATAATACATTGTAATTACTTTTTACACAGTGTTTTGCATATGTTCTTCGGGATCTCAGGCAGAGGTCTTTCACATCACCTACCACCTCATCTCTTTACCTGAGGATTGAACTTTGGACCTTCTGCATGCCAAGCATATGCTTTTCCACTGAGCCATGTGCCCTCTTGCCTTTGAAAGAAGTGATTAGATTCTTGGCTGCTCTTCTGCAAGAGCCTAGCAGTGCATTTCTGGGACGGGACAACTTGTTCCAACTTTTGCACTGCTCCAGTAGTGTACTATTTAGATATAGCTCCTTTTTCTCACTCAGTTTTAATCCCTATTGCTTATGTATGAAAAACTCAGACTCTACCCTCCTTCCATCTGAAATACAGTACGAGACTCCTGCATCCTGCCTATGCTTGAGTCAGCACAAAACCAGACAACCCCTCCTCACTGAGCCAATGTTTATGAAACATATTTTAAAAACCACACAAATAAATACTAATATTACACATGAGGTGGTGTACAAGAAGATCAATACTTTCAAGCTTTTATTGAAACAATAAATACTTAATACTTTTCAATCATGTTGCCAGAAGCCATCACTGAATGAGAGTCCACCAAATCATACATTAGGAGTGGTAGTGCCCCCCATGGCAGAGGAGTAAGAGGGTGCCCCTCCTCCCCACTATGCACTTCAAACAGTGTGCCAGCCAAGGCCTCCTCATTACACCAGAGGGCATGGAGACCCTATTCACACAGCTGCTCTCCCTCAAAAGAAAGGGTGAAATCACATGCACAGGCCCTCTGTATGACTGAGCACCAGTACAGAGGCTAGAGAAGTAAAATTAAAAAATAAATAAATTGAAGCCATAGATAAAATGAATTTTCCATGGGGGAAATGGAAATTTTGGGGGGAAATATTTACTTTCCTATCAAACCTACACCTATTCTGCTGCTTTAACAACATAAAATTCCTGAAGACTGACAATGAGGGGGCCAAGCACACCTCCCTGGGGAGGTTCCATAATTGTGGGGCTGCCATGGAAAAGGCATCTTGTGTACCCACCAAACCAGCATCTTTAATTGGTGGACAGTCAGGAGGACATCTCCCCGTGATCTTAATCCCTGGGCAAGAATGTATGCAAGATCGTCCTTCAGATACCCTGGTCCCATATAGAGCTTCAAAGGACAAAACCAATACCTTGAATTGGGCTTGGAAGTGGATTGGTATCCAGTGTAATTGCTGTAATATTGGGGACATACGGTCTTGATACGATCTAGCCACAGCATTCTGGACTAGCTGTAGCTTCTAAACATTCTTCAAGGGTAGCCCCAAGTACAGCACATTGCAATAGTCTAGATGTAAACTAATGCATGGATCACTCTACCTAGATCCGAGTGACCCAAGAACAGATGTAGTTGATGCATCAGCCAGAACTGGCCAAATGCATTCCAACACCCACATGGTTTTCTAAGATGACCACTGTGTCAAGCAGCACTCCCAAGCTGCAAATCTGGCTTTCCAAGGAGAGTATAACACCATCCCAAAACAGGAATACTGAAGTCCCTGGTCTGCCTTTGCCTGCCTCTGCCTAGCAACCCTGGACTTCCTTGGTGGTCTCTCATCCAAGTAGTAACCAGGGCCAACCCTACTTAACTTCTGAGATCAGGCTAGCCTGGGCCATCTGTGCCAGGGCATTTATAATTTAGTTAGTATATTAAATTACACTAATTGGCATATTTATGGAATTTAAAATATAGAAGTGCCAATTTAAGCAGTTACACCATTGTAATCCTATTGACTTCACTGTGTGTAAGAAGCATGTAAGATCCATGCACAGAAGGACGGGAGATTTCTTCAAAGTACTCCTCAAAAATTTCCATTGGAAAAATTCAAAAATGTACTTAGGGATCCACCCCCCCCCCCCCCCCCCCCCCGCATCCGGAGGCCCCAGCTCACATGTTTTTTGAAATGCATGATGGAAAGGAGGGGCAATCACCACCAACATATGAATGAAGGGAATGAGACGCTAAAAATATACATAGAACTTTTCCCCACTTTAGCTCATCATCAAGAAAATGTGAAATAGCAAGCGTGTTCCCCCAGATAACCTATGGCTTTCATGTTATTTTTAACTCTCCACCAGCCCTGTTCTTTTCCTTTAAACTGTTCCCCTCCCCACTCCCAAAGCCTTTTCCTCCCAAGAGGAAAAAGACTGTCAGATTTCAGTCTTATGCAAACAAGTGAGATGCCCTCATAAATGTGTTGAACGTGAAGGACTTTACACTGTCTCATAGCCTCAGACTTCAGAGGGGGCTACAACAGAGTCAGAGAGATAGATAGGCTAGGATTGATTACCCTTCCTTTCTACTGCTCTGATACTATCTCTTTGATGTGTAGATTGCTACTCTCAGGGAATCTTCCTTCTGGCTTAACACCTTCTCTCCACACTGTGCTAGCTTTTCATCATCTTGGCACCATAAGGGCAGGACATGCTTCCTGCATCGCTATCCATCCTAGCTAGTTAGACAGGATTAGAATCCTATCTCTATTCTATCCTGTCTAGAATGGAGTTCCTTACAATAAAGGACTCATATTACTTTTACAAAGATAAAGAGGCTCCATGTGTAACTGTGCTTCTTGTCAGCACACACTAACCAGACTGGCTCTGGCTGCATTATGAGTCTTGAGCACTCTGCTGCCCTAAATAATCCTTCAAAATGAAAAACTGCAGAAGTGCCTTCCTTCTCATGCCTCTCTCACATTTAGTCTGACCCTATCTTATGAATGCCACAACAGAACTAGCACAAAAGGAAAAGGAAAAAAAGACATTTTTCAGAATGTCCCAGTTTCATTAATATCTGTCCAACATACCCACCAGACCTCAATTCCTCCTTAGCATGGCCTATTACACACATACATCTTACTGCAGATTTTCAGAGCAGTAAGCCTTTAATCTTGACTTCAAATTCTGTGCCTGCCTTACAAACCATTCTTTTTCCTCTGGTGGATTTCTTCTGCAGCTACAATTAAAAAAAAACCACTTTCCTAAATCAGGGTGGAACATCACTTGTGTGTGTGTAGGGGGGTGTCCAAAGTTTTAATTAAAAATTACACAATTGCCCTATTGCAGCTGTGTAGTAGTGTCCAGCAAGCACCTTTCATTTAAATCCTCGTGGTTCAGATTTTGCACATGCATTTTAGTGTTAGTTCATAGAATGAAAGGGAACAGAAAGGAACACAGGCAACCCACTGTTGAAACTGACTAGACTTTTTCTGAAACTGACAAGCAGTTGCGAAGCCGTTTTCCATATTGCCGCACACTAGGGGATTCTCTGCTGTGTTATCAGCCACTGTGAAAAATGGGACAGAGGTGCATCTCATAATACGAGGAAACATGCTGAGGCAGAACCTACTGACGCTGGAATTGTAAGCTGTGATCACTGGCAATATGTGCGTGTCCACGCATGTGCCTGTGCAAAGTCAGCTGCAACTCCACCACATTTCTCACAGGGTTGCAATTTGCATGGGGGAGGAGTCCTCTGGCAGAGACCCTGGAGAGCTTTTTTAGTCTTGTGCCACTAAACCGAAAAAAATGGGGCATTTTCACCAATGCCCTAGCGCAGCTGCATAGTAATGGTAATTTCCTGCCCTTCCTTGCAAATTTGCATGGTTTTCTCTTTGTTCATTCTCTAATTTGATCCTGTACACTCGTCATGATCTTGGCAGTTTTTTAGAGCCTATCCTGTGCGGGTTGCACTCTTCCTCCAAATGTATCAATCCCAAGCTATCCTTAAGTTTGGCAGTTTGCAGAAGGTCCATATAGTTAGCCCCCATTTTAATGTTAGGCTTCCGGGGACTGGAGACTGCCAAAATCCCCCCAAACTTTGTATACTAAAGCATTAAAGGGAAAAATGTTTTCAAAGCTTTAGTGTTCCCATCCCAGTGTCTCTCTCTCTCTCTTTACATCTCATGTCAATTTCAGTCCCCGCTGATGATCCCCCCACTTTATTTTGTTTGCATGTAACATTGAAATTCTTTGTTTTTTTGCACTGGGGACAATGTCGTTTGCCTCCTCTCTGATCCCCCTTTCAAGTCACTACCAGCAGGGAACTAAACCTCGTGCAGCTCCTTTTAAAATTTCCCCGTCGTTTTAATTTTTTTATTCAGCAATCTGAGACTAGCGATAGTGCCATATCGCTAGACTCATGCTGCTTGTAAAAAAATAAAAAAATAAAAATGAGAGAAAAATGGAGCTTGTACACCAATGAAGGGGGGAGGATGATGGGAGGTGCAGAGTGGGCGGAACAAGCTCAATATGGGTGGGAAGTGACCTTCAAGGAGCAGCAAAAGGCGGGGGGATAGAAATCTGAGGGAATCTATATGCTTTTGCATACCGTCACCTTGGAAGTTAAATAAGGGGGAAATCAGCACAAAAGCACTCTCAGAAAACTTGGGGAAAGAGCAAACAGAAAGCAAACTGAGCACTGAAGGGAGGAAAACCAATGCAGAATGACAAAGAAAACCCAACAAACACACACAGTGAAAGTGAGGGAAAACACCCACGCATAATAGGCCCATGTCGACTGCCCCAGTCTATGATGTATTTTCATGGCTAATGATGGAATAATTCTTCAAGAGTTTCTCCTTCTTATCCATTCATATATGCATCATACCAGGTTTGCCCGGAATCCTTCAGAGAGCTGCAAGACAGTGAACAGGAATTTGACTAAGCAAAAACAGACGACTTGGGCTCTTGATACATTAAAAGTAATTTTCTTCCCCTGCCACTTGTCTTGCTGCTTCACATTTATTTGATCAACGTATAATGAGATATTTAAAACTCATTCTCTGCTTTTCATATTTCACACATTTCTTCTTCCTCTTGGCTGTTCTTTCTCTAGCCAAGGACTTTCTTAAATCGTAATGCCTAAGATGGCTCCATCCATGATCATAACAAGTATTCCGGACAACTCTCAGTAGTTTCAGGCTTTCTTAAACGACAGAGAGAGATGCTGTCTTATGTTCAAAGGCCCAAAGCTACCTTCTTGGCACAGAAGCACAAATCTGTAGAACAGGTATGTTGCGTATGTGTCTGATGGTGCTAATAAATTATTGAGAGAAGCTTCTTCCCTAAATAATTCTTTAGATAGCAGCTTCAGTGGTTTTTAAAGAAATTACTGATTCAAATATTAAGGAAAGAATTGCATGTTACGTGTTGTTTGTAATTCTTATTGGGGACATTTTGTTGGAGTGAGCTACTCCGTATGCCTGGACATTCGGGGGGGGGGCACTACATCACTCTGAGGGTGTATAAGTGTTATCTCCTTGGATGGGACGCCTCTCTTTGTCTGAACCTGAGAGCGGCCCTCTGGCCCTTCCTCTCTCGCTTTGTCCTCTCCCTCTCTGCACATGGCCTTCCACGGAGCCACATGTATCTCTGCAGGTCCCTCATGTAGAGACAGTGCCCTCACACTCCCACACACATGATGCTAGCCAAGCTGGCCATTTGTAATAGGGGAAGTCCTCTTTAGATCAGGCTTCTCTCTCTTCTTTCAACTGTGACCTGAATGTGAACTGGCTCTACTTGAATAAATGTATCTTTACCTTTTTGCAATATATTTCTTGTGAGATCTATTTACTGCACTAAGTATCACACTTCTATGACTGGGCAAACTCTGCCATATTAACCGAATATCCCAATACATTTCTCCTCCTGCTGAAAAATGCCTCCAGCAAAATAAAAGCTGCTGGTGGGAACGATTTTCATGGAAAGAAGCAAGGTTTATAATCACTTTTTCTGACTTTAAAAACTGGCTGCATCAGAGTCTAATTTCTCTCCTTTATTGTAATAATAAACTATTCTCTGGTATATTAGCTAGGCATTTGGACAGTATTCTTGTCAAAATAATGATGATCAACATGAGTGATTTTAAACTGAAAGACCATGCAGCAACAGAAGAAAATAAAAATTGCTGATAATGTAAACTAGGAAAAAAGTGAATAAATACTTTATGATGCAGAAAAAGTGTTTGAATGAGAGTATTACAAGTGCTGAAGTTCTGCATGAACTACAGACAAGCCTTTGATTTCTTCAAAACAACAGCTTCTTCATGAAGAGCTAGAATAACCTCTATTTAAACAGAATCTCCAGTTGTGTGTGTAATATAACTCTAGATTTTGGCATTCTGTAAAAGTTTCTAAAAAACTTTACTAGGGGTGTGGTCACAGACGCCAGTTGAAGCAGAGGGGAAGCGAGGCCATTCCCTTCAGAGGAATTTGACACGCAGTTGTAAGATCACACCTCCCTTGGTGGCTGCGGGCTCAGCCCGTCACTGTGTGATCAGACGCAACTGTGGGTGTTTTTTGGCTGCTTCCCATGCGCATAAACAAGAAATCGCACCTTCACATTGAGGGCCCCCCTATGAAGTATGCAATGACGTGCATACTGCAAAGGGGGGGGGAAGGCACCAAGCTGGGATGGCACAATCAGACCATCCCGATGGCATGAGAGCATGCTTGCACGATCATACGGGGGAAAGTCTGTCTGTGGCCCATTGGAACCTGTTCAAGCTGGACTTTCCCCGGTGTCTTTGAACTCTGCTTCTGCAGCAGAGCCGCACGGGTTGCCGACGACTGCGGGACGCTTCCCAGATGCTGCTGTCTGATCGCTCCCTTTAGATCCATCAAGCATTCGCACCTATGTCAGATCTAAAGGCATGTGTGATCACAGCCTAGATATTTATTTATTTATTTGCCATAGGTGAAGTCAGGCCATTAAAGGGGGGGGGGGGAGCCTTTAACTTCAAAAACAGGAAAAGGTTTGTATTTTGGCACCTGATTATCCAGGATGTTCTGGCTTCAGTCAGAGGGCAAGCTCTTCTCCCCGCCTTCACCATATTTCTGTGCACATCACTGTTAAGTGTGCCTCCTTTCCCCCTCACCCTCTGCCTCGAGGTGTGCAGAGCCAAGTCTGCTGGAGAGCTCCAAGGCAGCCGGCACACTTGGCCTGCCAACTTCTTAGGATGGCTACGTGGCTTGGGGCAGGGAGAGAGCTGTTGCCATGATGTTCAAAACAGGGTGAGGTGGTTGCTGCAGATTCCTCCGGGGAGGCAGGATAGGGTAATCCACGTCAGTATTTGGAACATAGGATTCATCAGCAATCTCAATTTCACTTGTGTGCCAAATAACAAAGCATTTACTGTATAACATGATAAAGCAAAGACATATAAAGTGCAGATCCAGTCATACTATAGTCCCTATTTCATATAGGATTAGAAAAAGACGAGTGCAGGGGGTCAGGGAGAGGGAGAAGCAGTGAATGAGTTTGTATGGTCAACTGATGCTCTGAAATACAATTTTAATTTTCCTCCATTCACATTAAACAAGGGTTGGACCAGCCTTCTTTTCGACATACAACAGTTCATAACATGCCTGTCATACTTACCGCACAATGTCTCCAAAGGCAGTCAGCAGTGGCTTACATTGGTAGGCAATGCCATGCTTGGCACAGAGGGATTTCACCAGAGGAGCCACTTTCCAGAAGTTGTGTCGAGGCATTGTGGGGAAAAGGCTGTAGACGGAGAGAGAGGAAAAGACATAGTTTCTGTAGAATCATATCACACCACCTTATGGAACTACACAAAGGATTTTGTTGCCCTTGATGGCCTTACTGGTGTTCAATCTGGAAGTTCAGATGGCCGGTAAACCAGTCATTGAAAAAGGATTGATCCACATTGCAGGTGGCTTGGAGCTGTGGAAAAACAAGACAGAATTAGGAGCGATGGATAAGGTCTTTGTTTTCTGCTGCGGGCAAATGGCAAACTACTGTCACTCTCTAGACAGCCAATGTAAAAATTCGAGTTCAGGACAAATAGTGTATACATTGCAATTAGTTGCAGCATACAGATTAGCTTAATCTTGTCTGTCCAGGTACTACAAGGCATCAACAAAATTACTTCGCAGCAGTGAAAGTTTGTCTGGAAATCCAGGTAAGGCAGGGTACATTTTGATAAATGCTTTGGAGAAGACAAAAGCCCTCCTGAAGGTACAGCACAGATCACATAGTCTCTGGGACCCACAGTGTTTTGAAAACTGAAGGAGTTGGAAGGGAGAAATATAAACTTTAAAAAATGTATAGCCATGAGAAGATGAAAGCTTGCAGCATGGACTAGTGAAAGCAATAGTCTCATCTTAAGAACCTTTAGTTCTTGTGTGCTATGAAGTTTTCTGAGCATGGTGCCAAGTAATTAAGAGCAGAGCTGCAATTTGGAAGGAAAGCGACTGACTTGATTTGTGACAGCTTGGAGAGTCCCTCGTGAACAGCAATAGTAGCCATGATGGATCTCAGATATTAAAGCTTTGGACAACTGGAAAGAGCCTTACTTGTGTGGACACCCAGTCTGTATTTTCATCATAGTCAATGTGCATTGGGATGTGATTCATTTGTGACACCCAGGTAAAACACCAGATCTCAAGAAACCTATGGAGCCAAATGCATACAGAGTATGTTACAAACTTCACATTTCTGATAATTGACTTGTTTGGTGTGTCAAATCGATAAAACCTCATACACCCATAATTAAGGACCACTTCACACTTTACCACAGAACACATATCAAAGTTCGTGCTACTATACCAAAACACATACAGTGGAAATTTCTTCATGCACACACCTTGGAATCATGTCAGGAGCTGCCATGTCAGTGAAAAGAGACAGAGCAACATCAAATATTATTGGAAAAAGCAGGTACATGCTAAATATGAAAAATATACTGACTTCCACTAGAATAATTAGCAAAATAATCTTAAAATACTCCCTGCCTTGCAAGTGCAAGCAAGAGGAATGAAAGAAAATATTCAAAATAGGCTTTAAAATGTGTTTCAATGTATAAAATAATTAACTTGTTTAGACTGAAAGAATCAAGCTGAAAACTATTTTAGTATCAGTGTACTAGATAGGGTAATGTACCTCCGAGAGTCAAAACTTAACATAATCAATATCCAGGAAAGCATATTCAATACATAAGCTTTTAGAAACATCAGATCCAGTTAATCCAATTAAAAATTATGCAAGCTACATTTAGACAAAAATCATCAAAGTTTTCTCCTGGTTCCACTATTATTTAACATTTTCCACACTTTTATATATTACCTTCAACGTGGCTTGCAAAACCTATTATAATATAATGAATTAGCAACACACACTCTTGCATCTTTCCCCCAGTTCTCAAGGCCTTCCTGCCATTGCTGTTCCACCTTCAAGGTGTGGAGACATGGGATAAAAATATTTGCTCCTTTGGATTCAGGTTCCAAGTTTACACTGAGCCATCAGATATTGTCAGTCTCTGTGAGTTTAAAGCTCCTTCTTCTGTGCACACTAGAGGGGTGCCTTAATGTCACCTCCCTCTCTTAGGATGGTCTCAGCAGTGGCATTTGGAAGCTGAAGGCAGGACCTTCAGCTAGATCTGGGTCTAGGTGTAATGGTGGGAAGTCTGGCTTCTTTCATTCCCTGGCTAATCACCCCACTTGCCTCCTTCATCTGCAGCTACACAGGCCACCCTCAACATGTCAGACCAGCCCAGAACCTGAATTTCCAACAAGGTATTGTGGCAGACTGCATTTTTTAAGAGGCTTAGAAGTGATGTGACATCAACTAAGGGACTGTGAAGGGTTAATTCTTCACAGAGTCAGAGAGCCTTGAATGACAGGCTGCTCTAAACAATCTGAATAGTTAACATCAGCTGAGGGGGGAAAAATCTTGAGAGAGCGGGATGCTAAGCAGATTCAGTCAGATTTCTGGCCTAATTGAGAAGAGATGTTTACTGAGACCGGCTGAGTATAGCCCTGACAGAAAAAAGGGTTTAGGGCTGACTGAATGCAGTCTGAATTCAGCATTACCTGAGAGACAGAGAACTGGGGGAGAGTTTGGTAAGGAAGTTTGGGTAGTAGAGAAGACTCCCATTCAGGCCAAAGGAAAGGGAGACAACTTCTTGAGAGAGAAGAAGATTCCCTATCCAGTCAAACAGGGAGAGTTATCTCTAAGGAGAACAGAATTCCCCAGCCCAGTGTGATTAGAAACTGCCTGTAGAGACCGTAAAAGTCAGTGAACAACTCTAGAAGAGTACTGGTGTTCCAAGAGAAGGGATTTGGGTACTGGGAAGAGGGTACACCAGTCTTCTGGGCACCATTAGTCCATACTGCAAATCCCAGCCATATGCTTTCCATTTAACTCTTTTAACTATTTATTTTGGATTTAATATTGTATATTTTTTGTTGTCAACTGCCCTGAGCCCTGTGAATTCAGAAATTATACTTCTGGTTTATGGCGACACGATAGCGGACGCCTCTCCCGGAACTCCTGGGGAAGCGATCCGCGCGCCAGCTGTTTGGAGGGGGCGACTGGTCGCCACCCGCCCAGAGCCTTTGTGGAAGGCTCCTAGCCATGGGGCTTTGAAGGGTGGCCTCTTCTCCAGCACGCTGGAGAATTGAGGTGCTCTTCCGCCCTGACAGTCCTGCCACTGCCGCATCTGTAATGGAATGAGAACCGCTGACCGGGACAATCGTTGGAGATCGGGCATATAAAACATACCTTGAGCGAGGTCTTCAGACCATCAATGAACTGTGAGTTGAGTTAAGCCGAAATGCTGGGAATTTAAAAGAAAGCCCCCCTGGGAATGGCAAGACGAGCGAGCGGGGGAGGGGCCCCTCCCATATGCACAAAGAGAAAAATGATTTGCCAAGGGGGAGCAGAAATAAAAGCAGTGAAATCTGTTTTAAGAGATCAATTAGAGCGCCTGTAAGCGTTTGGGCGAATTTCAGAGACTTTAGCAAGGAGAGAATCTAAAACAATTACTGAGTGATGCGCTAGCCCCAGTTACAGATTTAAAAGTGGAATATCTTGCAAGTGAAATGGATGTGGTTTATAGAACCTATTCTGTTTATATCAAGAAAAATAATCTGTCTGGGGAGATAAGGGTTAGATTTTCGAAGAGACACGTGAGGGATCAAATCCCGAAAGCAACTACAGGAATTTTTTTAATGCCCTTAAAAATTGGAGGCAATATTATCAGAATTTTAAAAGACATTCCATTTGAAATAAGAAAGAAGAGGAAGAAATATAAAGACTTGATTTCATTTTTACAAACGAACAGCATTCCTTACAGATGGTTGACCCCTGAGGTGTCATTTTCAAACTGCAGGATAAAAAAGAAAAGATTGACTCTGTTTCTAAAGCGCGAGAGTTCCTGAGACTGCAACTGGGAGAGGACGGTGAGGACGGCAAGGAAAAGAAGACAGCAAGCCTAGTGATGAAATGGATTCTGCTACTTCTGATGAGGACTCTGTTTCCAAAAAGGGGGTGGCAGCCCCTAAACGAGAATATCAATTAAGGATTAGAAAAGATAAAACAAAATGAAGGCTGAAGAACTCTGAATGGTGCCTTAAAGCTTTTTTATTGTTAATGATGCTCTTAGGATTTTCTTTAAACAGTTAAAAATGGTTTTAAAGATAAATAATATAGCTTGATCAACTATGTTCAATGTAATCATAGCATTTTAGACTAACACCGATACAAGCTGTTGTAATGATCTCCTATACTTGGGTTTTTAGTTTGGTTTTCTTTCCTTTCTCCCATAGATGTAGTTTCCCCCCCCCCTTTTTTCTGTTGTAGTTTATAGAAAAATGCAATTAAAAAATCCCCTCCGGGGGCTTAAAAAAATAGAAATGATAAAATAAATAAATAAGAGTCAACAATTACTCAAATAAAGTGAATTGGAGTGTTTGGGAAAACACTGGAACAAAAGCCTCTCAATATAAAGGTCTAAGCAGCTGTGAATAATTTAAGAACTTCTCATTAGCCTGATATATAAGAACAAAAGTCTGTGCTTGTACTAGTTTTACCTCAGTAATTTCAACCCCTGATTTCACCTGACCTTTCCCTTTGATGTTAAATAAAACCTTGTGTTATTTTTGAATTTTAAAAACATCTCAAGTTCCATTTTCAAGGGCTTAAGTTAAAAGGCGGGACTTAGCATAGCAAGCAACACAGCTCAGTACAGAATCTGTTGCAGGTAATCACTTTGGCCAGGCCCAGCACTATAATATACTTAACATAATGGATTATTCTGCCAGTCGTAGCTTCAAAATTATATGCATGAAATAACTTCCCTCCAGTATCATAATTTACCATATTGACATGGCTCACTTTAAATAGTATCTTGCATAATCAATCCAAACCTATGTGACACATAATGGGTGATTCTGCATTGGTTTTTCCCTCTGTTGTTTTAGCAAAGCCACGTTGGAATGGAAATTCCCCTCTGCATTGCATGTTGCTTTCAGTTTCTTTGATCATCAGGTTTTATGGTACCTTCTGCATAGATTTATAACCGTTTGATGGCTGTTCAGGGGTGACTTTGCAGTCAGTACGGTGTTGGCTCGGGGTATCTGAATGTGGTTTTGAGCTGCACCTTTTCCTCAGTGTTGAGAAAACATGGAGCAAATGCTAGATGCAGAACCAGCCAATAATAGGTTTCACATGGCTACTCTGCTGACACAATGCATAACTGAAAAATTTAACCCAAAACAAATAGAAGGCTGTAATGGCTAGAAGCCAATTATATTCAAAGTATTGTATAACTGGTAACAGAATTATAAATTCTCAGTGGTAAATTATTTATAAAGTTTCAGAGCAAAGAGAGGTCTTAATATTACCTGGACAGCAAGAAGTACACCACAAGACACTTGAATCCCATAAGGGGTATATACATGAGAGAAATTCGGATGTAGTAGGTTGTCAACAAGGTTAGCTCCTGCCAAAGATGAGAAAGAGAAATGATAATCTTGATCAAGTTACACAGACCTCCACATGAGATTCACATGAGATGGTTCACAAAGCTGCTCCCCCTATCCCCGGCCTTGTTTCCAGACAGTGAGAAGCATGCTCACCAGCCATTCTTTTCGCTTGATTGAGAAGTAGAATACAGAGAACTGAAAGAAGGGAAGCATCACACCTGGACCTGAAACTGTTTAGGGAAAAAATACAAGTCATGCAGAATATTTACCAAACATAGGTGCAACATAACATTTCCCCTCCTTGCCAAAGCAACAAGTATACTAACGCAAGTGAGATTTGTTTTTCATCAAAAAGGGTCACTCTTTTTCTCACCTTATCATGCTCGCCTTTCTCTTTACACTTCAGTCCTCTCTTGTATCAGCCATTCAACAGCCATTAAGATCAAATACCTGTCTGTTTTCCCTCCTATGATGATGCTTTGAGTGAACAATTAGGTATTTAATGCTTCTCATCAACAACAGGACATAGAGGCTGAGCTGTTCCCCTAATGTTGCCTCCTTGCTCTGGGATTCAGAGGATTTCAGGAAAGGGTAAGAGGAAAGAAGAGTGGAGGAGGGGGAAATAACTCTCGCAAGTCCTTGCAGGTTCCCACTTGTATATTCTAATAGTCAAGTCAGCCAGACCTG